CATGATACAGCCATAGGTGACCATGTATCTTTCAATACATGACTGACGAGGCAGATTTTTTTTCCTGCAGTAGGTTGCCATTTCTTTCTGTGATAGACCAGTTGCCATCCAAGGCTATAGAACCTGGTCTATCCTGTTATTTACCCATAGCTGGGAGGAAAAGAAGAGGATTCATACCTTTCCCAAGGGTATTAGCACATACATGAATATAATGGATTCGACTGGAATTCTAACTCAGCTCTCCAATTCCTCAATCTGAGCCACCATCCATTACTCTACCGATTGTCGAAATGCATCGTTTATAGCTTTTCCACTTTGTCTCATGAAATCTAGGTATATATTGAATTAATTTATTTTTGAGGTTGCTGAAATTTTATACCAAATTTTGTTAAGGAACTCACAGTTACTCTCAACAGGCGTCCACATAAATATTGACTTTGGGGTTTATTCAAACTGGTGACCCTGATGTAAGTTGAACATGTAGCTACAACAAAAGGTTGTGTATCATTTTCTTATTTTTTTTTAATCAAATGTTCTTGCCTTTTATATTTTTTCTTCTGACATATTTCCTTCTCAGGATTTGCTAGAGAATTTGTTTGTCTTCTTTTCATATTCAAAAAGTAAATCAGAAGGCAGAATGAAAAATGTCATCAACAAAGTTTATTTAGAAAAATAGCTTCAGTATAATTTTCCCCAACTTTTTGATTTTGAAAACATTTGTTCTTGTTAAAACAAGTAGTGTGAGATTAGAATAAAGCAGTTCACAAAGTGACTTGAACCAGAATCTCATATGCTAAGAGCTTGTCTTTTATGGATGATGTCATAACCTATTTGGTTATACAAGAAGCTGATGGCTAGATTGGATTCAAATCTAGTCAGACTGACACTTATTTCTTTCAGGATATGCATTCAAGTTTTGCTAGAAGCTATTTCTTTGTGATTTCATCATGTTTGCCTTAAAAAAAAATAGTATTTGACTTACAATGCTGTGATAAAAAGCAGCAATAAAATGAAAAAAAAACAGTAAAAATAAAATAAAATGATGGAAATAGGTACTTGCAGAATTCAAATAACATTAACTAAAGAATAAGTTACTAAACTTTGTATAGAGAAAACAATTTTTTTTAAATGCATTATTCTATAGATAGAAATATGTTGTTCAACCTGCCTCTGCACGTAACTGATTGAGATGAAAATCTCTGATAAAATCCTTTTGTGGTTGGAAAAGGCGTGCATGGGGACGCTTGGAAGTGAGGTGATTCCAGGCAGTTGTGTGATCCCATTTGTAAGTCTGGAAAATATATAAAAGATGAAACATGACAGAATCATTCAAAGAGTCTTAACTGTTAGAATCATATAATTATTTTCTGTCTATACTATTAACACTTTCACTGTTGCAGTGTTATAACATTGTAACCTGGCTGTGCTGGCTCATTTTGGAAAAAAACAAGAATTTGTTTTTCCTGGAAATAAATGACTATAAAGATGCTGATAGCAATTTCTCATGGGCGCTACCATTTTGGTTTAAGTCATATACTCAGCAGTAGAGAGATTAACCTCAATGACACCCCAACATAGATTATAATAAAAATAAATCAGAAAACGGATTGTATCGTATGCAGCAATATGTCTATGCTGGTTTGAAAATAACAAACACTAAGCACTAGTTAGTTTCTAACATAAATCCTAGAGACTGGCATTTTATGATGATAGCAGGCAGTGTAAATTTTGCAAAGATGTATATATATATATATGTCTACAGCAGCAGAAGTGTTAAACGCATCTCAGGAGTAAACTACATCTGGGCCATCAGTCTTCAACTCTACCTGGTTGAATATCAAAAGCTCTTAGGAGTTTATATTTACTTTTTATTTTGTAAGTTTAAATCTTATGGCCTGAAGTAGTAATTGATTGTCATTGTATTAAAATGCAAAACATAAAAAAAAATAAAATGCTAGACAAGCAGAACACAGACTCTAATTTAGCATATTGTATATTATGAATTCTTAAATTTTAAGAAATTACCTGGCCAATGTCTACATTTTTTATTCAAGTGTAAATTGGACCTAAGTTAAGACTTTTAGTGTTGATAGTTATAACTTTGTTGCCTGACTGTACTCGCGCATTTTGGGAAAAACAGGAAATTGCTATTTACTGGAAATAAATGATTGTAAAGAAGCTAATGGGTGCCATCATTTCGGTTTTGATTAGATACTCTTCAATACAAATTAAACTAAATGATGCACCCAACATTAAATATAATAAAAATGCATAATAAAAAAGAGTGTATTGTACATTATTGTGTCTTTAAGCTAATTTAGAAATAGCATTAAATTCTAGTTAGTTTAAAACACAAAAATACAAGGAACTGTCATTTCATAGTGTTTAAATAATGTATATATACTTCAACAGCAGGCAATGTCGATTGATTGATTCATTTTCTATGCTTTATCAACCTTTTGCAGGTTATTTAAAGCCAGATATTATTTCTAGATTGTAAGATTTTTTTTTTGAGATAATAATTAGACATTAGGGCTTTTTTCACTAAGATTAAACCATTTATTCACACACTTTATTCTGTTACACAAAAAGTTCTATGGACTGAACCTATAGTATCAGAGAAACTTTCTTTTATTAATCAGACAAAGAAAACAGTTGTAAAATTTGTATATAAAATTTGTCTATATTTCTGAGATAAGGTATTGTAACTAGACTATTTACTTTGTTTAGACTGTTGTCCTCATCTTTATTGCTATATTCACAACGTTTCTGCCATTGTACGCTTTGGCCTCCTTCAGGTGATATCAGATGGAATTTCAAACTGAACCCACTATTTAGTCCACAGAGGTATATTTTTCTAATTCCACATGCCATGCCTTAGGATATCTCAGTTTCAGTTAATTCCCCTTGGACTCAACTGTCCAAGATTTGTTCCCTCTGCTGTGGCCAGGTATTAAACTCTTTGTGTCAAGTCTCACTTTAGGATCAGTCAACCAATGCTTTTATCCACTGGGCCATGTGGACTAAATAAAGGGTTCAGTTCAAAATTCTAACTAATGTCACCTGAAGAAGGCCGGAGTGCACAATGGCTGAAACATTGTGAATATGAAAATAAAGATGAGGACAAAAGTGTAAATAGTATATGAAATATGTGGACTAAAACCACACATATCCATTTTTTTTATATTAAATCTATTTCACTATACATGTTACACTAGTAAAGCATTGGTTTATCTTTTTTCTTGCTTCACTCATTTTCAGATCAACTACTACAATAGTAAAAGAATATACATCTTCAATTGTGTTCAAGTTTTTCTCTCTATTTAGTCCCATTTCTGGTACTACTTACCAGTCAAAGAAGATTGTTGGTGGAATATTTCTTATGATGGTTAAAAAAAAATAGGTAAGAAATAAATAATTCCACAATTCTTTTTGCTCATATTCAAGTATAAAATTAATTTGTTAACTCACTGTAAGAAATTAGATTATTTTAAAAACATCATTCTGTTTTATTCCAGATAGATTTTGCTGTAATGCATGAATCCCATTAGATGTCAAAATAAATATATTTAAAAATTTTCTTCCAGAAATACAAAATCACATTCTACACAAACTTTGACTATACATGAATAAATATAGGCGTGTTCCAGTAAGAAAATCATACACATACATACATAGCCATGTTTCTCTCTTGAGACAGGAGTGGGATTAATCTCACACAAAGCAAGGTGGGTCCTGTTCAACAAAGGATTTGCCACAATGATTTCAGACAAGATTTTACAAGGTGGGATGCTCTTTCTGACACCCAGTTCAGACACTCACAGTACGCCGAGTATTTTTATCAAGACACTATCACTAGGAAAGTTGCCATTCAAGGCTTGAGAATCTGTCCAAGCCTTATATATATATATATATATATATATATATATATATATATATATATATGTGTGTGTGACCTAACAATTGTGTTTAATCAAAACAGACTGCTATCTCTGGGTATTGACTTCAATGTCCACTTTTATATTTACATACACTCTATCCCTGATATTGAGCACTTTAACCCATAACTATAGCACACCTTAAAATTATAATTTAATCATATATATATATATATATATGATTATTTAGGTAGCATATCATTATTCAAACATGTTTCATTGAATAATATAGACATATATCTATTTTATAATAATCCTTTCTAGTTCTCTAATCTGATTAGAAAACTAGAAAGGATTATTATAAAAATAAATAGATATATATTATTCAATGAAACCTGTTTAAATGACGATATGCTACTTATATATATAAGTATATATATATATATATATGTGTGTGTGCGTGGTGACATGCCACCCTTCTCATCAATAGAAAAGCTAGTGGGGGAGTTAGTTTAGACACCAACCACCCATCCATTTGGCAGATTGTACTGGGTTACATGTTACCAGTAGAAGGCCTGACCTGACATTGTGTGATGATGAAATTAAATTTACTTACTTTAATTAAGTAACAGGCAACTAGGGTGGCACTTCTGGTGCGTCCTGCTTTACAGTGGACATAGACATTGTGACCTTGTTTTCTATGGTTTTCAATGAAGGACAAAGCCTCGTCTAGCTGGGTAGGTGAAGGGGTGCCAAGAAAGTCAAGGATTTTCAAACGAAGACAATCCACTCCAAGTGATTTCCACTCCTGAATATGAGAAAATGTGCAAGAAGAAATTTGAATTTGAGAAAGAATGAAAGTATTTTTTTTTTATCAAGTACAACTGCATTTTTGAATAGTCAAGTGGATGGGAATTTTCCAACTTAAGAAGTAAGTGTGTTGTTTCAAAATGATCATTCTGCATGATTCCTGAAACCAAACAATTGTGTCTTGGAGAAAATTATTTGAAAAATAATAAGTATGCCATGTCAAATAAGCACTGTGCCAGTTGGAGGAACATTGAAGGAAATAATTTAATCATGTCAACACTTGTATTTGGTATGAGGTGTATTCCAGAAGTTTTGAAACCTTTATTAATTTCAAAGTACAAAATTCCAATTGACTTCAAAGTAGGATCCTCTGACTTCAATGTATTTGTTGTATCACTCCAGTCACCCCATAAAGACCCCATGGAAGTCATTCAAAGTGAAGGTGTCTATGACCCTTGTCACAGCCTCCTTCAACTTCTCAATGTCTTCAATACAACTGCTTCTGAGGTACTCCTTCAGCATGGAGAACAACCAAATGTTATAGGGAGTCTGGACTGTAGAGAGAGGGAAGGACAGTTTTGATGTCCATCTCTATCAGCACAAAACTTTATTTTATTTTTTTTCATCATTTCACCACAAGCAAGGCAATAAAGCCACTAAGACGTGGAGGGGGTACTGAGTGTTACAGAATATAAGAAAAAACTATTAAGGAGAAAGAACAATAAAAGAACAGGAATTAAGTAGACAGATGATAACAATTGACATTTAAATTTTTGAAGATCAAAGTTGACTGGGAAGCAAGAAGCTCGAAGAGAGTTCCACAAGTGAGAAGTGCGAGAGAATAAACTATTAGCATAGAACTTATGGTTACAACTAACCATTTCAACTGTAAAATGATGAGATCTTGCCACCAATCTAGTACTACACTTAAATCCATAAAATCTAGGTCCTATGAGCTTCCAAATTGTCTTCACATCCTTGTCAGATGTGTTCAGTAATCTCCTTCAATTTGGAATAATAAAAATTGGCAGGTCAACTTGTTAGATATATAGTTATAACTACCTCTCTTAAAAAAGGTTAAAAACTTCTGGAATGTCCTTCATACATGAGTATTTAAGAAGACAAATATGTAAGCAAAATTTAATTGGTTGTAAAGAAATTAAATTAACATTAATGGCAGTTATTCAATGCAAAAAATTGACATTATCATTACATGTGTTTGGGTTCTTTATTGTTTGTTTTTTTCACATTTACGTTGTATAGTGGCATGGGATTTCTGTGTTAAAATGAATAGTTGGTTTACCCATGCCAAAAAGGTTAATAGAGGCAGATAATGACAGGAAAACACACGGGTAATTTTAACAAAACAAGATAAGGAATTTATTTACAAATTTACAGGCTTGAAGTTGTGCCAGTATCTTGTTTAAGGAAAATAAATCAAAATTCTTAAAATCCATAGTTTTAATGTATTTTTATGAAGAAGAAATGTTCATATAATAGATTAAATGATCTGACATAAGATAATATTCAAAAATGTTTAAAACAAAGTAGGAGAGTTCGATATTCACAGAAGGGATATACAGTTGCATACATTCAAAAGTAGACGAAGAGAGATAGTTTGAAATACTTAGTTTTCTTGCTAACTTGGAGCATGTGCATGTAAATGTTGGTGCAAATCCATCGAAAATTGCAGCCGTGCATTCGTTACACACACACACACACATCCTGCCTTTTATAGATAGAGATTATTATTAATCAAATTGTAATAAAAAAAATTGTACGTTTTATATTCTTTATATATACAAATGAATTAATAAACATTTTAAGATGTGCAATTTTAAGTGAAATTAAAATGACATCTGAAAGTTTCACTGTACCTCATCAGTTGGTGTGAAATAGCTCAACTCATGTGGTTGGTTGGCAGAAAGCACAGCACGAACATTTTCTTTTGTCACTAACTGGAATAAAATAAAAATAATTATAATCACTTTTAACAAATTCATTCTTTATATGCAATCTGGAGAATTAAAAGTTTGTACATCAGGGATTAAAATACACATTGCATTCAACATTTGACTGTGTATAGTAATACAAAGTGCATCCAAAAAATATCCAACTTTATTTTTTTCCCGACAAAACTAATGTTGTGTGGGCAAAATCCTTTGGGTGGGAGGTGATGCCACCCTTCCTGCACATGTTTGAAAATTTTTGTGCCAGAAGACCACGTTAGTGCACTTATTGAATTTTCCTTTTCACACAAGATGACCAAAGACATCAAGCAGAGATATTGCATCAAGTTTTGTCAAAAGCTTGCTGATACTCAAGCTCAAACCATTCAGAAGATTCAGCAGGCCTTTGGCAATGATGCCATGGGCAAAACTCACATCAACTGCTTTAATCATGGCTGCAGCTCAGTGGTGTGTTTCTTTGACTCCCATGATATTGTGCATCATGAATATGCAAGGCCAAACAATCAATAAGGAATACTACCTGGAGGTTATACGTTGCCTTCACGTTGTACGTCAAAAGCAGCGAGATATGTGGGTGGTAAAGAATTGACAACTTCACCATGACAATTCACTCGCTCATTTCACCTTCAATCCAAGCTTTCCTGGTTAAGAATAATATGCCACTTGTTTGACAGGCTTCCTACTCTCCGACTTTGGTACCCTGTGCCTTCTGGCTCTTCCCTAATCTGACAACCACACTGAAAAGGAAGCAATTTGAGTGAGTCATGAGAGGAAATTATAAGAAAAGTGACCGTGACACACCATAGCATTTCAGAAAAGGTGTTCTAGTGGTGTTACCAGCAGTGGCAGAACCACTGGCAGAAGAGTGTGAATTCCCAAGGAGGATATTTTGAAAGTGATTAAATAAAATTTATGAAATGTAGAAAAATAATGCTTTTATGCCCAAAAGTCAGATACTTTTTGAACATATATATATTACATTCCCTAATTATTATTATATTTTTTTCTCTCCCAATAGCAGTAGATATGTCTGCCTACCATCCACTTCACACTACTCTTTGGTCTTTTGAATAGGAGTAGAAGTTCATCCCTTTTTTCCTGTTTAGGATTGGATTATATATATATATATATATATATATATATATATATGAGATAACAATATATATTTTTATATATCAAGAACAGAATTGGGAAAATTGTATGACAAAGTGAAAAAGTTTACTTATGATGTGTTTTGTCTTTCAGAACTACATTGAACTAAATTTGTTACATTGGTAGGGCTACATATGTGCATAATAGAGATGTGCTGGAAATTTTAGAAATTTTGTTTTTTTTATCTAGCTGAATTCATTTAAAGTCTTTTCCTTTTTCTTTCCATCACTTTTGTAAGTAGGTATTCCACACTGTGATATTAGATCTGCTAGTTTTAGTGAAATGCTGTGAGAGCCAGGGCATAAATTTACTGTAGATGACCTTACGATTAAGGCACTCTCTAGACATTGTGGATTAAAGCATTGGTTTGTGAATTTGATGACGTAGTAATTGTGAGTTAGAACCCAGGGCAATACAGACTTGTACTCAGTGGAAACAGGGTGAGCAATAAGTGAGTAGTACTAAATATGAATTAGACAAGATATTCCTTGCCATGGTCAGTGGAATAAGAGCAATCTACCCTGGTAGATTAGATAAAGAATTCAGTTTTAAATTCTCTGAAGGTTATCTGTATCAACAAGCACCTGATGAAGGTCAGAGAATACAATAGCTGAAATGTTGTGATAACAACAACAAAGATGAGGATAATTGTGTGTAAATAAAGTAATTTATTAAACAACTTTTACACAGATTAACCACTTTTTCACAGAAGATCATTTGCAAAGTATATTTTATGGTGGATTAATTCTAGGTACTCTCAAGTCCTGAATAAAAGATTTGGTTTGGTTTGTTTACCAGTATATCAAGTCCTTATGGGTCATTTAATACCAAAATTTAATTTCTTTGGGAGCATTGTATATATTTTTTCATTATTTAAATCTATTCCTGGAAACATTTTTATTTTTTCTATTAAAATCTATTGCTGGAAATTTTTGCTATAAAAATTTATTTTTATACTTTCATAGTGTTTTGCCCCAGTTTGGGAGTTAACTATTTGCCCATAGCTGAATGCTACCATCCCAGGTCAGGATGGATCTTGGAACAACAGCAATTAAGAGGTCCTCAAAACCTCACTGTCACATGTAGTTTATTGTCATACCCAGGATCTGAATAAAAGGTGGGATTAGAATAGTAGGTTGAGGTGAGTAGGAAGAAATGTGATAAATAAGTTGATTGGTTTTTTATATGCCAACTGGAAATGTGAATGAGTAAAAAAAAAACATAGGCCGAGTATAGAAATAATACAATATGGGAGCTGCTAATAAAGAAAGAAAGACAAATGACAGCAAGGCTTCAACAGCAGCAGCAATAAAACCAACTCCCAAGATAAAGCTTCATTGATCACTACAATCTTAATGTATTCAAGTCTAGTGTTAACCATTATCTTCCCACATATCTGCATAAACTATGCCTCTGTTATTCTTTAACTACCTGCCTCAAGTAGCTCCTGGGTGAACATCATTGTTAAAAAAAAAGCCTTGGTGAGTGCAGTCAAGCATAACACTCATCAGCAGACAGGTTAGGTTTCAGGCTCCAAGTTCTTAACAGAGAATTGTTCTATAGGACGATAGCCTAGTGGATTAAAGCATTGGTTTGTGGATTTGGTGGTATAGTAATTATGAGTTCAATCCCTGCACTGGGTAGTGTACTAGGACTCAATGGAAATAGGGTCAACAATACTAAAAATAGTAGTTGTATAGTTATAGTTCCAATCTGTATTTTAGTGATGCTTAGGTCAAAATAAGGTTGGGAACCACTGCCCTATTGTCATGTACAAGAAATTTTTACTGTTTTTTAAATCACTTATTTTTATGCCACGCCCCTTCAGGACATAGGCAGTTACAGCTCTCCACAGGGATTCCTTTTATCTGTGAACCGCTATAATTTCTTTGAAAAAATACTAAAATGGTTTCCCATGTTTTTGAATTCAAAGATGTCCTTCTAGACTGGCTACTATTTAACCAATTTGTTGGACGAAGAGATAAGGTCATGCCTTTCTTAAGAACATTTGTGCAAAAGTGAACACAACAAACTATCTCTCTACCTTGAGTGTCTCTTGGGCCTTGTACTGGGGGAACATTATTATAAAAATATAAAAGGGTTAGGTTGATATTTGAATTAAGCTTGCCAATTCCCCATTCTATGTACTTCCTTTAAGTCATTAAAAGAAAAAATGAAACAAAAGAAATAAAATTCAATAACTAGAAGCCTGATTTCCCCTACATATGAATGTGATATTTCATTGTTATAGTAATGAGGTATGTTTGCACCTTGGAAGTGTGTAATGGAATGTCTCATTACAAAGAAGGAAAGATTAGTCTGTGTGGCTGGCAAATATGTAATTATATTTTGTCTTATATCATAGAACAGATTACTATAAGATACTTAAAAAAAAAAGCAGAGTAAAGAAAATAAATACCAAAGAGGAAAAACAAAGAAAAACATAGAAAAAAGAAAAGTCACACTGACATAGATTAGTTACTTACCTCTTTGGCAATGCCTCTTAATGGCAAAGCACCAAGAAGCACAGTCTCGTCAATTCGATCATACCAATTTCGGTTAGACACATGGCACATGACATAGTTGTAAAAAAGAGAAGGGTAGAAGGCTAAACGTGCAAATATATAGCTTCCTGTTCCTGGCATCTTTTTTTTAATACCAAACAAACATTAAGGTAATTCCTTCTTTTTTTCTTTGCCTGCATAAAAAAAAATCACATATAATAAATGCAAAAAAAATGGTATATGTGGGTAGTGTAAGGCACAGAAATTGAAGAGTCAAGTTCAAATTCCAGGCTAGATTGTTGTATTCACTTTCATTCTACAAAGAGTGATCATCTCCCTTTGAGGAAGGTGAAGTCACTAGGGTCACGTAAAGGCCAGTGGGTGATGTCAGTTTGAGGAGTGATAAACATTAGTTACTATGTAGCTCAATAAAGAGTAAGACATGTTTGCCCACAGCAGTAATAGCAAAATAGAAAGCATGTGATTCCCCTAAGCATATAGAGGACACCACTGTCCTGGTTGTTTTCCCTTTGAAAAATATCACAACACCCTCTCAATTTGTGCTTTTTCATGCTGCTTGTTGTATTCATGTGTTATAATTTTTCTATGTGGAACAAACAGTGACAGATATATATATATATATATATATAATTTTTTTATGTGATATAGTGGTATATAAAATATCTTCAAGAACAATGCATGCTTGCCATTCCTTTCTATCAGTCATTCTTCCTTCTGTTGTATTAAGGGGTTAGTATATCACAAATATACTAATGCCTATAATGAGGAACTGAAAAATATACCTTAGTAAATCAATACTCCTAAACAAAAGGGAAAGGTAAAAATAGAATAAAAAAAGAATGACAAGGAACAGTAGCAATGTAACTGGTTAATTTCAGGGTTTAACTATTAACTCTTTCAATACAGAATGGCCAAACATGATATAAAGAAACTGAGGCAATGTTTAATCTTTGTGCCTGCAAAAAACAAAACAGTTATGGTTATTCCTTTGACAGTGCAATTACTGTACACACTTTTGAGTCCTTCAGCAGTGCTTATATACAAGATTCTAAAAATATGTGAACCATATATAATGCAATATTTATTTATCATTTATAAAGATTTATTTACAATTCTATAAAGAAATAAATTCGAAAGGAAATCTTTTTAATCCAAAAAATTTATTAAGAATTTACAAAATATGCAAGATTTATTATTTACCATTTTATAAATAACTACGAAAACAGGACTTTTATTCAATCAAATAAATGAATAATGTTTAACATCTTTGTTGTCAATTCTCAAGAATAAAAAAAATGTATAAATCCACTTTCATACATTTTGCTTTTATTAAAATTCACCACTTTTTAAAAATAATAAAAATTGTAAAGGGAGTCAATAGTGTATATAGAATAATCATCCTTTTGACAGTTTTTTAAATTTTTTTTCAGGCATGAAGGTCAAATATTACCAAAATTTATTGTATATTCAATTTCCATGGAAACTACTAAATGCTTCATGAGCATTTAATGCATCTCTGCCATGTACACCAAACAGTTTTTTTCAGGCATGAAGGTCAAACATTGCCCAAAAATAAATGTTAAATGTAGTGTTTCTAATAAAAACAATGATTATCTCCCTTGTATTCACCTTAATTTTTTTAAACTCTCTCTATGTTCTGTGCCTTCAGGAGGGAATTTAATGTTTACTGTTAATGGGGGTTGAATAATACCAAATGTCAGGTAAGTCACCAGCAGATGGGTGTACTATGAAAGAAAGGTTTATTCTCCCCTTTGCGCTTCCTCCATTACTAGCATTGTTATATCCATGATATAAAAACACCTTATTTCACAAACAGAACGGAATGGCTGAAAGAAAATGAATGACAAACATGTTTTGTTCTCGGGGAGAGTTTTATACTGCTAAGTTGTACACAAAATTATATAAATATATATATTTACACATCCCATGCAGAAAAAATATAAGACATATCTACACAATAAGCAGAATGAAAACAAGGAAACAAAAAAAAAAAAAAAGAGTCTTACATGTAATAATTCCCAAAGGGAATTGAAGTTGCCGGAGATTCTTCTGTGTTTCTGGAGAAGCCATATTTTGGACTCCAGATTCGAGCAGACTGGATTCACCTGCTATGTTGCTATCAAGGACATATTCTGCAAATGGCGAATCCTGAGTTTTTCCCAACATGAGAACTGCAAGCTGAAGATATTTGCTATACCTGGTGAAGATATATTTCCATAGGCTAAAAATTAACTGCTTGGCATGACTCCTGGAAACTGACAGACTGCCACTTTCATAACTATATAGTGATGTTATCAAGTGGCCATCATGCCACCCAAATGACTTCATCTTGACCAATGGAAGATAATCACCTTTTGTATCATGACACTATTATTCAGAAATATATTTGATAAAAATGAAAAATTGCATGAAGCTACAAAAAACCAAATATATATACTATTCATACTGGGAACTTTCATGTGGTGTAATGGTTAGTGAGCTTGTCTTGCTAGATTAATTATGTTTGAATAGTGAGTTCAATCCTCACTGGGCGCTCTACACTTTCAGCCTTATGCCACATCTAAACTATGCTTAGAAAATCACTATTACTATTCAGACCATTCTCATTTTTTTGGTTTTTTAATACTCACAACTTTTCAGCCATTGTAGGATGTGCTGGTAATGTAATGGCTAGTGGCTCAAAATGAGAAATTGAAGAGCTAAGTTCGAATTCCAGTCAGGTCAGTTACATTCAGTTGGAAAATATATGAATGAATCCATCCTCAAATATGGGTTAATTTAACTAAGACTTGTACTGGGGAAAATTATTATTCTCAAAAAATTGCTAACTAAAAAACAATTATTCTTAAAATCTAAATTATGATTCAGCTTTAAAAAACCAACAAAGGGTTGATAAGCCATAAAAAAAATAAATCAATTGGCTATTGTACTCTCTGATCTTTTTCAAGTGTCTGTCATTGTACTCAGTAACCATCTCAGAATAATAAGGCATATAATTATGTTAATTCTTTCTCTCCAAAATGTATTACTCCTTATTTTCTATAATGGAATATACATGCAGGAATATTGTTACCAGAAATCAAAACAGTGAAAACAATGTTTCGTGATTTTATTGGCTTCAAATATTGTTGTGTCGGAAACCTACCACCCCTCTTGAAGATGAACTTGTCTGCGTCTGTGAACAAAGACTTTAAATAATGAAAGACAGATAGACAAAGAAGTTCTTAGCTCAGCTAGTTATTGACTACTCAGGCGATTTCTGTACCTTTTTACCAACTTATTAAAACCCTTTTTATTGTTACGTGTTATTTGGCATTTGTCTCTACTAACCCCAAATCAACATCATAACAAATATCATCCCATAAATTTAGGTACCTTGACTAATTCATTTTAAAAAATTCATTTTAAACCTTAGGTATTGTGTTTTCTGTGATGGTACCTAATATAATTTAAATTTATGTAGGCACCTCTATAAAAAATGTGATACCTAAGCTTTAAAAAGAATTTTTAAAAGTGAAAAAAATCTCTCTTGAAGCTTTTATTTTAGTTTTATTATCAAGCTAATAGATTAAATTTAATATTTCCAATAAGCAAAATACTTTGCTGCATTTCGAAACTAATTTTAAATTGACTGGAAGTTTGTTTTTTTGATTAAAATAGTTGAGTAGCAACCATTTTTTTAGTTGTCTTTCACCGCAATGTAATCCTCTTCATTAAAAAATCTTCCAAAAATAAAATATACTTTTCTAAAACTTTATTTGAAGAATATTAGCTGATTTAATGTGTAATTAATCTGATTTGAAACAAATATTATTTAAGTTTAAAATATTACAGAAATGCCTTTTTTTTTAACATGGCAATGGCTGTTTATTTAAGCTGTTGACATGTTTCATATCCTGGTGACAGATGGATGTTTATCCAATATTGTTCTACTGGGACTTTATCTGTAAAAAGTCATTGAAGAATATAACATGAATGCCTTTTTTATATAATTTTTAAGTACTCAGTAATCTAAAAAAATTAAAAAAAATATTCTCCATAATCTAATGTCTGCAAAAATTGGCACATTTTTTATACATACAAAAAAAAATTCAAAATTTCATTCCAGCAAGGAAATACCAAGTTAAATCGTGCTCATTAACTTGGTTCTCACCTGCTTGCTCAGCCACTATAGTCCACAGGAATCACTTCTGCCTGTACCAGAGCGACGTGTCTGACTGCAACAGATATCTCCTTATCTCTGATCATAATGAGTGCAAGTGTGTCCTCAATAAAGCAAAGTTACTGTTTGCTGATAGAATGAGACAACGTATAGCATCTTGCAAGTTTGGTTCAAGAGACTATTGGTGGCTCTGCAAGAGTGTGCTAAACAATAGCAAATCCTTGATCCCTCCTCTATTCAATCAATTCAAAGTCCTAACATCCACAGCAGATAAGGTTGAATGCTTTGCTTGGAAATTCTCATCCAACTCAAATACTCAATTCATCCAGGGTGTCCACACTTGACTTTCCTCCTAGAACTGAGGATCTACTGAGTGATTTTCACATAACCCCATTTTTGGTCTTAGGCATCATCTCTAAATTAGACACTTATAAAGCAAGTGGTGATGTCGGGATACCAGCCGTAGTCCTTAAGAAATGTGCTTTTGAGCTGGCTCCAGTTCTCTCCAAACTATACAACTATTGCTTCGTTGATTCTTGCTTTCCAGCCTGTTGGAAGTCCTCCTCTGTTGTCCGTGATTTTAAGAACTCTGGAGACCCTTCCAAGTCCTCTAACTACTGCCCTATCAGTCTCCTGGGTCCTATACTGTTTCTGATCTCCATCAATGATCTTCCTGATGTTATTGGCTCTCAAGTGGGCATCTATGCAGATGACACTACCATTTACTCCTGTCTCAAAAGTAAATCCAGGAATGCTGACAAAGCTAACCTGGCCATTGGTATTGAAAAGGATCTCCAATCAGTAGTTAACTGGGGCAGGAAATGGCTTGTAAATTTTAAGGCCTCCAAAACAAAACCACTCTCATTAAACCACCATAAAGAAACTTCCCTGCCTCTATCAGCATGTTTGATGCTCGACTTCATGAGAGCAGCTCCCTATGCCTTCTTGGCCTCATTTTTCCACTGACTTGAGGTGGGACAACTAGATTGATTAAATAGCTGCATCTACCACAAAGAAAGTTGGTTCTCTGTGTTGTGTCAGAAGGTTTTTTCGTCTGATTCCATCCTACTCATCTACAAATCTACCAGTTGTCCATGCATTGAATACTGTTGCCATATATAGTCTGGTCTCCCTGCCGTTCAACTCAAGGTCCTCAACAAAATCCAAAGAAGGATCTGCAATGTAGTTGTTTCTGACTTGGCATCTCAACTCCAGTCACTTTCTCACAGACATGATGTGGCTTACTCTGTCTTTTTTACAAATATTTTCATAGCTACTGCTCTGACAAGCTATTTTCCATGGTGCCCCAACTACGTGAATTTAAGCGTGCTACTAGGTTGGCATGTAGGTCCCATCCTTTTACAATTGAAACAGTTAAATACATTCTACTCCAACAGTTTCTCTTGCACTTCCTGACAATGGAACTTCCTTCCTCTTACTTGGTTCCTTGATAACTACAACTTCAAAAATTTAAATGCAACATCAATGGTCATCCTCTGATGTCTTGATCCCTGTTCTTTTTATCCTTTCCTCAATCCCCCCCCATAACCTATAACCAGTCTTTTCTCTTACTTCCACTCTTTGTGGCACTCCTGCTTTACTTGGGGTGAAATGCTTAAAAAAAAAATCAAATATGTATTTCATGTCTTTTTTTGTGTGCAACAATTGAGAGGGCATTGTGCAAAATAATGATGACCCATCAGGTGCCATGCAAACCGTTGACGCGTACTGATATCGGGAGTTCGTATAAATATGATACATCTTCAAAAATGATTTGTTCATTTTTAGAAATTCATTTTAAACTTGAAAAATTATAATTAAAAATAAAGTGATAGGGGAAACAACTCTTGTAATAATTCATTAGTCATAGAAAGAGTTTTTTTTATTCACACTAATTTATAAAAGCTTATACAATTATGGATTAGATAGTTTTTTTAATGCAGTTTTTATGTTACGGTTCAGGGAGCATATCTTGTGCAATTATTTGATAATAGGTTGAGAAAAAAAATAAATAAAAAGAAAACAAAATCTGATGAGACGTTGATGCTCTTACGTACGACAAAAGCAGATTCTTCTTAAATTACAAATTGAAATCTACGGACTGTTGAGGATTACTCAGACCTTCCAAAGTTTACACAAAAAATACTGTGCTTTAAACTAAAGCTTTAGGAACTTTTGCAGCATAATGTTTGTTGTATGTAACATTTATGTGGATACGGATATCTTTCCTTAGGTGTTTATTAATGTACAGTACACTGTCTGTTCAATTAACGTTAACAACGAACTATACAACATTGTACTTGGATTAAACGAAAATTACTTACAATACATTCCTTCTTGCCGTCAATTTTGACGGCACGGATAATACTAGTAAATAAATAAAACGTTTAAAAGAAAACTTATTTAACCTTCTTTTTAGTAATTAAAAAAAAAGATAAATCAGCGTTTGGTTTGATTGTCTGAAATGCAAAAAAAAAAAAAAAAAAAAAAATTAAAAAAAATAACTAAGTTCCGTGCAACTTTTGTGTAGATAGAAGAGCACAAATTGAGGTGAAATTGCAGATTACGACCCAGAAACCAATTTAAAAAAGAAGCATCATTTCTGGTGTTAAAAAAAAAAGCCTGAATATTCCTAAAAAAACAAAAAAAAACATCTTACTCTTCTTTTTGTGTCTCGGTTACAGCCCGGTCGACATTTGGTCTTTCTTCTTCTTAAATAACATTGACTTTTAAAACTTTGTTTTCATTAAGTTTGGGGACTTTTTTCAGCGCTTTCACCGATTCCTGATTGAGGTGACCCAAATAAGATTGTCAATACCCTCATAAAAGGTGGACTTTTTCTCAATTTTTATCGCTATTTTTGTAATAATCATTAATAAAGTTTCTGGTTTGTGTCCTAATCTGCAATTTTACCCAAAACTGAATTTAAATTTGATTTACCTTACAATTGTTAGAATTTAGAAATAAATTCAGTTTGGAAAGCGTTAAACAGGGTTTTAAAATGAAATCAAACATAATAATAACTGATTGGGACCGGTTTAAAAATAAAACAGTAACCGGGGTTGTCCACTTGTGGAAGGAATCTTTAAGCATTTTCTTAGTGCAGTTCAATCTGCTTATTTTTAGAAGTAATATTCTATATTTATAAGTTATCATACTACAAAAACAATATTTTTATCAATAAACAGCTTTCTTTTACAACACTATTCGTTAGTTTTTTTGTTGTTTTTTTTTTGCTATTTTTATTTTATTATTTCTTCGAAATGTTTTGCTACAAAGAAAAAAAAAGGTTGCTTCTGTCTGTAGTAATGGAAACAAAAAGGTATCATCTGTATTTTTTAAAAAAGCACAAATTACAAAACATTAAAACAAAAACAATAATAACCAGTTTAAAAATACAAATTATTCAACCTCTCCTAGCTTCCAACGATGAAAATTCTGTCAATAACAATCAAACACCGGATTCTTATTGGGTAAGGTCGAGGACATATGCCAGTGTCAACTCAAATAAGTTACCTCTGAAAAATAGTCCTGTATCTAATATTTTACTACTGTTATTTAATTTATTTATGGTCAATAAAGAAAAATAAAGTAAATGTTCTTATTATCAAAAAAATAAACTAAATGTTCTTATTATCAATACTATTAGTATTGTAAAGATAACCTTTTTTTTTAGTTTACTGAAGTGCATACAAATTTCACAGAGTTTCATAAAATTTCATAACAAATTTATGACAAAATTTTCGATGGGACCTTTTGTTTGGATTTAATGCCAAACGACTTATTTTAATTCGTTATTAAAATCTAAAAGAATAATAGAATATTGAACAGTGTCAAGGTTCCCAATTTGTAAAGTATTGTGGCATTAGTAATTAATCATAATCTTAATTATTGTAGTAACATGAAGCTGTAGTAGTATACAAAGTTTAATAAATAAAATAAAAATATTTCTTAAATTCCCTGAAAAGTATTATTTATTTATCATCTCCTTAACACCTCATTAACAATAAGACAAGCATTCTTAATGACAGGTCAACCAGCTAAGTTCATTTCTGAAATCAGATAAAGTATATAAGTGAAACAAATGATCAAAGACCCTGGACCAAAGCAAAGAACAATCCTATAGCACTTAACCTAATCACTTACTGACCTCAATATAAACCCAGGAAAAGAGGGTCTGAGGTCAGGTCTCTTTATTCTTTTGCCAGAAAGCAGATCAGGCTGATCCACTCGTCTACCCACTAAACAGGTCTACTACTCATTACAAAGGAAGAGGGGGTCTCACTCTCACTTTTGCTCTCTCTCTCTCTCTCTCTCTCTCTCTCTCTCTGTGTGAGCTACAAACTCAGTCTCACAAGAAGGATATGATTTGTAGTCATCAAAAAGAAAATAAACTTTCCAAAACAACATTTACTCGGCATTCATTCATTTTGAATGTAAAAACTATCATTCTATGCCAGTCTCCACAAGCTTAGAAGATTTTGTCTATAAAGGTGCAAGTTTGTGTGGATGTATCATTCCATAGTAAACAGTCATATTATTTGAAATGTTCATAGAAATGGACATTTGTCTAGGATAGAGAAAGTTCAGCAAACTTGGACCTTAATGCCCACAAAAACCAAAGTGTCAAAAAGATAGTTTTTCCTTTGACACCACTGTTATTTTAACTACCTTCACTCCTCAGCAATGGTCATTGTTTTAAAAAATGATGATTAGAATTGTAATAAAACATAAACTTATGATAAAAGTGAATTTATACATATTTTTTGTTCTTGAGAATTTACAATAAAAATATTAAACACTATTCATTTTTAGATTGTTTATTTGCAAGAATAGTTTTTATATTTATGACATTCTAAAAACTAATACAGTTAAAACTAATGCAATACAATATTTATCATTTACCAATTCCTGAAGAAATAAATATGAAAACATTTTTTTTTAAAACTAATACAGTTAAAACTAATGCAATACAATATTTATCATTTACCAATTCCTGAAGAAATAAATATGAAAACATTTTTTTTATTCATAAATTTATAAACATTTACTTAATTATTAAAATATGTGAACCAATTATAAGGAAATCCTTATTATTCAATATTTTATAAAGTTTGATCCAATTGACAATTAGCCAGTGTTTTGCCAACTATTCCAATAAACAATGTAATAAATATAAAAATCATGTCTGATGTCATGTATTTCAATTACATTAATCAGGTTTTTACTTTTCAATAACTCACAATTTACTGACCATCGTGAATTTTTACAATCTATCTGTGTCTATGGATCTAACCTATGACTGAACACTCACTAACACTGTGAACTTTCCATGACCTCTTATCTGATAGGACTTATGATGTCACTGTCATAGTGATACTTAAACAAACTGACATGTGTGTTGGGGTATGCTCACATTAAATCAACCCTATGTTATATTTGCTCTCTTTGGGCAGCAAATAAATACCATAATCTGAATCATAATCATAGCATAGTAGCAGTATAATAAAATTTGTCAATTATTTTTAATGAAAATCTATTCAAATTAATATTTGATAAAAAAGAAATGTAAACTTATAGAAAATAAAGGGTAAATGAAAAATAATACAATAGATTAGGTTTGTTTATTACACTTTCTTTTGAAGGGGGTGTTTACAAAAACAATTATTAGAAAAAGAAAATGACTAACATATATTCTTTAAATAAAAAATATCCTAGAAGCCTGATGGTTAGTAAAAAAAATGGCTTGATTAAAATTTGTTGTGTAATACTTTGTATATATGAAGCTCAAATTGATGTTGCAAAATAACCACCAAATTGAAGCCTGATGGTTTATAAAAATAGACACACATATAAAATTTGTTTTTTTTAAATTTGTGAAAAAGAGGTTCAAGTCATAAAACCTACCTAAATAAAGTTTGCCAACAAGCAAGGTTTAAAGAGATCCATTTGGAGAAAGTAAGTCATAACCCCAAAGTATTAAATTTCTGATTGAATTCAAAGCCAATTTATGGCTATTTAAGAAGTCTGGTTTGGCTGATGGACAGAAGGGATTTGGCTTTCACAGGTGAAAGTCATGAGGAGTTTATGGGGCTGAGCAAAGATAAAAAAGAACAGAAGGGTTTCAGCATTCACAAAGAAGATGTCAGCTGGTTCTGGGAAGTGAACAAAGAAAAACAGAAAACAGCCAATGCCAAAAAGAAAGAAGCTGAAAAAAAATAAAAGAAAGTTACAAGAAAAAATAAATTAAAACAGAAAATTCTACAAATTTAGAGAGATATACAATTATCTTTCTATAGTTGTTTGCAAAAGTTTGTTAAAAAATTAAATTTTTAACTTTTTATGAAAATATGAATCTCAGTTTGTAATACTGAACTATTGTCTACCAGAAACCCAGCAATGCCTGTAAATTATCAACCGCTTCAATTCCATTTGACAGTCAAATAAATTGAATTAAATGAACATTTTGTTGACAATGTTATAAAATAAAATAAGACATATCTCGGCTGATTTGCAGGCAAATAAACTAACATAGTCAAGAGCAAGAGAGGCCCCATCACAAAATGACCATTATTGTCATTTACGCATAGGCCCGATGCACGAGTTCCGGTCAAAAAATAAAATAAGATTTTAAAGTGTTTCTATTTTTCGACCAATAAAAATGCTTCCCTCCTAATTATACTCGTGTCGTTTTTTGAGCCTGTTAAGCCATAAAAAACGCCATAAAAGGGGTCACACAGGGAAGTACAAGAGCAGTCTGCTTGTGCTATTCATAATACTCTCCTCCTCTCCCCACCAAAATCCTTTTAATACTTTATGCCATGAAAAATAAATGGACCAACAGGTTAAAAGCTTTATCCAAAAAATAAGATCAATAAATGATTATTCTTATAAACATGCCAAAGAGGAAATAATTAATAAACCAGAAGACAGTTTGATTGTTGTTAAGTAGTGTGCTTAATCAACAAAACACATGCAGATTATTTTAACACAGTTAAAATTACCTCTTCTTTTTCTTTTTCTTTTTTTAACTATCACTGAATTTGTAATTATATTTATTTATTCATGTATATTTAAGTCAGTCTTTAAATAAAAACGTCATGCATACTTTTGTAATGCCCATTTGTAAGAAAAGATTTTGTAAATCACAGATACAAAAATAGTAACGCCTTTGAACAATACTCCATCAGACACTGCTAATTCCCATATATATATATTTTTCCTTTACCTGTTATGTGATGTAATTATTTCAAGATAAGGTTGACTGTGCTTGCTCTCTGGTGATCCATGTTCAAACACAAGTATCAGCAGCGACACTTTATTCCTATATGACACCTCTCCTTTGAGACGACTTCCTCTGGAGTCTGTATTTCTTTAGCTTTGGTTCATTATTTAGAAATTCTGTTGCTATTCTTTTTCTCTTACCATAAAATCTTGGTTCAACAATTTCTGATGGCATGGGTACGTCAAACGTGTCATACAAAATTTTCTGTATCATGTATGCCATTTTGCCAAACAGTTTTTTTATAATACCATCTCCCCAGAATTTTTTTCCACATTGATACATTTTAAAAATACCTTATCCCCAGGTTTAAAGTATTTACTTATATTGTTATTTCTTGATGCTCTTACAACCTGGTAGTAATTTATTAAAAATGGACTTAATCTTCCTGGCGAACATCAACTCTGCAGGCAACATTCCAGATATGGTGTTTGAGTTTTGTGTTATTCTGAAAACACTCAGAAATTGTTATAGCATGAATTCATCTGACTCCTCTCCCTCAGACTTTTTTTGTATCTGTGATTTACAAAGGCTCTCCTACAAAAGTAGGAGAGCCTTTGTAAATCACAGATACAACAATACTTCAAACAATACTCTATCAGATGCCGCTAATTCACATATATATATTTTTCCTTTAACCTCATGTGACCTAATTATTTCAAGATAAGGTTGACTGTACTTGCTCTCTGGCAATCCGTGTTCAAACCCAAATGTCGGCAGTGACAATTTATTCCTATATGACACATACAGTAGTGCTATGGGGCATGCTTGGGGTGTTACATAAGTGTTCATCATTCATCACCGGCACTCATGGTCAATGTTACAGCCCAGATGAAAATTCAACATTTCAAATGCTGGTTTTTCATGGCAAGCTGTTTCTTCTCAACATAGCACAACACAAACTTCCTTGTGTTTGTGGTGTTGCTCAAATAAGCTAAATAAATATTATACATATTTATTTAGTAAAAATTAGTCTGGTAATCTCAGAAAAAGAAAATTCACCAAGAAATATTTTATAAGAATTTAAAAGGGATAGTTAAGAGAGCTAACCATTTACTATTCAAAGATCAACATTGAACTTGAAATCTTTACTAATCCAGGATTCTGGCTAACAGCTGTCCAATCAGGATCCCATCTTGGGGTCATGCGGTAAACTCTTGCAAGTTATAGTTAAGTTCCATAAAATCAAAGACAAAGACAGACACATTTGAAGAAGAGAAGTAACACTGTATTCAATGGGTTTAATGTACAGAAAAGTGTGTATGCACAATAGGTAAAAAGAAGGCTTGCAAATATAATTTATATTTGTGGACTTAACTGTTAGAAGAGTGTCCAAGGAACAAGTGGGCTTTGTGGCTTCTGTATTCCATTAACATCGGAAAGGATGATACCAATAAATGGATGGTGACTATGGTTGTTAGTTGCAAAGGAGGAAGATTTCAGGATTGAGTTTAGCAGATGGCCTGAAGAAGAGATCCTGATTTGGCAGCAGTTATGCTATCAGAGTCTAGGATTAGTAAGGGTTTCAAATTTAAGGTTGATCTTTGAATGGTGAAGAGTTAGCTCTTTTTACTGCCCCTTTCAAATTCTTATACATTCGTGACACAAGGAATTGCAATAAGAATTTATTGCATATCAAAGCATGTTTGTGTAATATACTTTCACTATGAAAAAAGGGGTGAGTCTGTCTTTGCTTATTTTAAACCTGTTGAATACAGCCAGTGTGTTACTTCTCTTCTTCAAGTCTTTTTCTTTGACTTTGTGGAACTTGACTGTAACCGGAAAATCTTTATAATTTTGCATAATATATTGAACAAACTATTTTCAGTTTAATGCTTTCAGGAATCTTTTTAAAAATATTTATTCACACGTTTTTTAAAAACTCCTATTTCTTCTCAGACCAATTATCTTTTCCCCAATATAATAAAAATAGATTTTAAATTTGGTTAAAATTGTTAGTGGTACACATACAATTGGTTATCTTGCCATAAATGTATCAAGTTTGTGTAAATTTTTGTTTGTCATAATATAATAGCTTTTTTTTCTGCAGTAGTTATCTCCCCTAAACTGACAACGTCAGGTGGCAATGTCTTTGTTATGACAATGTTGAACTGTTTCAAGATGTTTATGCAACTCAGCAACTGGGGTTTGAAAAAGACCGACTCTCCATGAAAGAGCAAAGTCCAGCAATCAATAATAATTAAAAAAAAAACCCTGACAAACCTTCTAATAACAGTAATAATAATGTCATCACTTTTTACAACATGGCTAATCTATTCTAGTTTAAGTAAGATAAAAATTACGATGTGCTGAAAAGTTCTCGGCTTGATCATTTATCAAAAAATTAGTAAATCAAATTAAAAGATCAGAATAATACTGTTTTGAGGAAGTGGCCCGAGCTGAGAACTTTTCAGCTCATACTCTTTTTGTTTTCATATTCGTTATCTACAGTCTTATTCATTCATAGGAATTGTTTACTTTTTAAATTTAAAAATGTAAAAGCATATTTGCAATATGAGAGCAGATAATATTTTTTATCACTATAGAACCTTGACTAGAAGAAGTGACGTCAAAGTATAGGAAGTGACGTCATTTCGATCAGTCACCGAGTCGGTCTGCTTCAGGGTAGATTTCAAAAATGTCTCTTCGCGTGTTGGTCGGTTGTAAAAGAGTAATTGATTATGCTGTCAAGGTACAGTCTGATTTACTAAAAAAAAAAAACAAAAAAAGATAACTTTATTGTCGAAGTGCATAAGGAACCTTTATTTACAAGAATTTATTTCAATGCAGCCTTTTTTTTTCTCCTCCAAAACAAAACATGTTTCCCAAAAAAAAAGCAAAAGACCTTCATTTAATTTTGTTTTGCACTTTTCTTTTTTTAAAACACTACACAACTTCACTTTTTTCTTTTACTTATTTACTACAGAAATTGATAGATTTATTATTAACAAACTGAAAGTTTTTTTAAGTGTGATCTTTACTTTTGCTTGATTTATTTTATAATACTCGGCAAAAATGAGATTTTTACGTTTACAAAACAATTGGATGGGTGAGTGAAAATGTTCACTTGAATATTTTTTAAGGTCATGCCCTAAAAATATTAATCTCTTTCTTATTCTGAATAAGACATTCTTATCCCCTGAAAATTTTTGGAATTTTCTTCTTTTTTTAAATGTGTATTATTCACGTTTAAAATGAGT